CTTTTTGCATTTTACACATTCCGATAAGGCAGAAAACACTGCCAGAAAATTCAAAATTCGATACCCGATGTTTGGATCTTCTGGTGCGGATGTCTCACGATCAGTCTTCAATTTTTTGGCACTGGAACTAATATTCTCGTCGGAAAGTTCTACTTTTTCGGCAGTATTTCGATTTTTGGGCGGTATCTTCTTCTTGCTTCGATCTTTGCGAAAAGATCCGGATTGATGAGCTTCCCGAGAACCTTTATATCTGTTATCCATTTTCCTCAGAATATGTATTCACAGACGAAAACTCACTGTAACGCACAGTTGCACGAACGGCAAGCTACTGACGAAACGCGTCCAATTTCCGGCAAAGAATAACGGTCGTGTGATATTTCCGTTATACCTGGACCCGACCACGCCCGAAAACACAATAGAATCGTAAAACAGGTCTAGACACGCTCTCTTCGAAGGGTCGCTGCCTCTCGGCTCGGCCGCAAAACAGGCGGTACGGCGCGCTCTCGGAGACGGTTTACTCTCTCGGCTGTAACTTCGTTATTTATTGAGATATTGACTTGCAATTTTAACCAGATATTCTTGAGACCTCAAGCATCAAGAAAATGCAAAAAAAAAAATCGATTTTTTCGACCATGCTAGGTGTATATCTCCCCTTAACTCACAAAAGGACATTGAATATTTGGGCAGCAACTACTGCGGTTTGTTATAACAATAAACTTTGTTTTGGTTTCTTTTTCTTCCACTAGTCGTTGCCGCAATGTTAATGCTCAATTATATAAATCTGTAATTATTTGTATTTCTTAGATGTGGCGATGTTATCGTTGACAGGATCGTTTTACTTTTAGCCGAGCTCAACGAAGGTATTTTATATTGTCTGTTTTAATTATTTATTATATTTCAATTTTATTTACTTTTATTTTATTTTATGTTTTTTTATAGTTATGACGGCTACTTCTTAATATTAATTTGACTACTTAATATTATTTCGGTAACGGTCGTGTCAGCTTTAATATTGCGATTAACACTCCTGTCATTTTAATCAGGTCTTTAATTAATTGTAATGCGTTCATATTGTAAACCTTGAGTTTTTATTATCACTGAAGAGATCATGATTGAGCCGAAACGTCTGATTATTTATATTGATTAATCATGTTCAATAAATATTACACGATTTCCTAACACAAGGAAGATTTTACCCATATAGTACATAGCACTATTAGTCCTGTGCTTGAACTCGAATTGCCCCTTTTTCCTATTTTTTTACTGATAATAAATAATGTCATAAATGCTCGCAATAGCCAGAGTTAGAAAAGTTATTTAAGAAAGATGCGTTTTATTCTATAAAGGAAGGCCAAGAAAGCCTTATTAGCTCTTCTCCTTTCTTGAAATTAAATTTTACTTCAAAAATATAATGATAGCAGAGAGAGAATCGCTTGAATTCAAGTGA